CGAGATCAAACCATTGTACCAGACAACAATCCCTTGTAAACAGGTTATCACTGAGTGAAGAAACTCGGGATCTACGGGTTTAATGTCCTTATCCTAAGAAGACATACTAATATAACCATTTGAATGCAAAGGTAGCCACCTTCTTCTTAGTTATTTTAAGACCTTGAGTGTTGGTCCGACCCTCTTTACTAACTCACCCATGCAACCAAGTGGCGGTTAAAGGGGAGATATTCCTTCATGTCCTATTCTAGGGTTTATCAAAAACAATTATAATGAATTTATATTAATGAATTTATATGTAATAGATAAAAAATAAAAAATATTTGCATCAAAACGAACTTACCTCTCCCAAGCGTCGAAAGAAGTAATGATAGATCTGAGATAGCATTATGAGCCCTGAAGAAGGCATTGCTAACTCTCTTAGAAGAATGCATTCCAACAAACCATCTTGCTTCTTTTGGTCAGCGATATTCATYGACAAACATTCTGGCAAACGTGAGCAAGTAATGAAGCAGTCAATTTCATCTTCAACGAAAATCGTTTGGATTACATTTCCCAACTCAAACTTCGTGAATGGAAGTTTATCAAAATACAATCCTTCAGAACATCCACTTTCGCAGAAGCGAATAAAGAATGAGACCAAAGTGAGACTCAAAAACGCGATTTGACTTTCAAAACCCATTGGTTTTTTGATTCTTTAGCGAATAATTTCTTCCAAGCTGAAACACAGAACTTGAAGGATGCGTCTTGCTCTAACTAAAATTAAAATGACATCTCATTAATTTATAAGAAAATCTGTCTATTAATATTTTATCGACAGGGCAAAATAACGGTACTTGTTTGGCTTTTTGCCATAAGGACAGTTTTACGTATTTCAGCTCAATATTTTGTAAAAACTTTCTTTTGGAGCCAAATTGCAAAATATCAAATGCGACCAAAATTTATTGAATGCGTATCAGCGTATTTGAGATATAAAGCCGTGTACTTTGGGAGAGATGATATTTTGATCAGCAGAAAAACTGTCATTTTCGTGAATACTAATAAGTAACCTTGACTCTAATTCGACACAATTTCGTCACAAGTTCCGAGCAGCAGTGACACAAATGAAAGGCTCAAAAATTTGGAGTATTAAACTCAGTTACATAAAAGAAATCGTAAAAGTATCTGGCTTTTCGTTTTTCTGCCCTGTCTAATGTTTAACGAACACTGTTTAAGCCATACGTATAGCGTATTTATTAATTATGATTTGAACAAGTAGAGTGCTCACACTAAATCCGTGAAACAAATACCAATTTTTAGCACTAAATAGTGATAATTAAACAATAGAAAACAAADGATTCTGTATGAAATAGTACTAATTAGTRCTATTTAATGTTCACGGTTTTAGTGCGTGCACTCTATTATCTTGGAGTAAAATTTATGCGAATAAGTAACTATTTATGAGGAATTTTATTTATTACACACTTACACACACTTACTTTATTTATTAACTGGGGAAAAATAATTTATTTTTTATTTCATCTAGCATTTTTCTATCAAGAGATCTGATTTTTTCCAACTTCCTTTCAGTAATTTCAGGCAAAATATTCTATATTTTCACTAAGTATCTTGATAAAAATACTTCCCTGAAGCGATGGTCTTTATTTGCGTTGAAGAGAACAGCGTGCGATAGCAGCGGCTGTTTTTTATGTCAAAAAATTAAATAGCTCAGCTTAGAGTGCAAACAATATAACCGTGAAACTTTAGTAATACTAAATAGCATTATCCTTTCAATATATACAAAATCAATTTGTCCTTTCCGGCAGCAAAGAAGTTGCTAGAGATTCCTATTGCTAGAACTAAATCATATGGCGAGAGATCATTTTCTATTGCAGCCCCAAGACTATGGATCGCTCTTCCGAATTGTATTAAAAATATCAAAACTTTAGAATCTTTTAAGAAAAATCTTAAGACAATGTTTTTTAAGAAGTATTACGACTGATTTTAATTGAATGGACAAATCAACGACATAAATTTTATCATTTACTATTCCATTGATCATTAATTCTCGTTTATGTTTTATATAGGTTCTATTAGGCCTAGGGCAAACGTCGAACTTTCCATGCACCGAACTTAATTACATCAAAGTTAATTGTTAATTTTTCATTTACTATAATTTATATTTATCAATAATTAACTTTTTCATTTACTATAGATTTCACCATAACTTTTAATGACAAATTTATATTCTATATTGTAAAAAGCATTGATAAGAAGTGGTTTTTTGTAACATTTTAAGAAAAAATTCAGCAATAAGCCTTTACTAAAATTAACAAATAAAATACATTTACTGTGTTTGCACACGCTAATGCAAACCGAGATGTGGTTGGGAGAATTCGAGAGCAGATCAGTGCAAACACGAGCCGTAGGCGTCGGTGTTGTCGAAAGAGTTCGTCGAAATTCTTCGAGTTCAGGCTGGCAAATCTGGATTTTTATTTTTTTGTTGAAGGCTCTTTTGGTGGTTCTACTATTTCAGAAGCTTCCTCAAGAAAGTCAAAGTCAAAGCTTGGAAAATTAGCCATATTCTACTAATTTTACTGGAGTTATGACTATTTGTGTACAAGTACAACTTCCAAACAAAACTCAAATTTTCCCGTCGGTGTCGATACGCGTCAATTTCAACTTCAACTCGTTTATTAACAYTTTTTTCATATACAGTTATATATTTACAGGATCGATGAACATAAACTAAAGACATCATCAATCGGTAAACATTCAAGAGAAAAACATGGAAACTTTTCCTTAATAAGTCAAGAACATTTTACCATTTTAAAGAAGTGCTCGTCAAAATGGGACTGTTAAATTAATGAAATGTTATTTATTAACAAACTGAAACCCAGTTTAAATGTTCAAAGTGATTCTATTCGGACTAAAGTATTTTATTAGTGTTTTTTATTTTTTATTTCATCTTTCTTTGTTCGTCATTTTATTGCACAAAAAAAGTTTGAAGTTTTAGGACAAAAAACTGCATTATTATCATCAGAGCTTTAAAATCGCAATGATTAATAAAAGAGATAAGCTTACTTTGTTAGCAGAAAAACAGAAGATCAGAGGGACATAAGATATACGTCGATCCTTAGCTTGATTACAGGGCCGTAACCAGAAYTTTTACAGGGAGGGTGCACATCGAATAAAATCGGACCATTGATCGTTTCTTTTAAGAAAGCAGACCCAAATAAAAATAGGGTAACCGAAAGAAAGCAGAACCAAAAAAAAACAAAACAAAACAAAACAAAACAAAAAAAACCACAGTTACTTTAATTGCCAACCCCATAAACAACAAAACCAAACTGGTGTTAGCTAAACTGATAGTTCATTTATTAAAATATTATCATTCCCATTTTTGCCTCATGGGAAAAATGATGATGCAAGAGAACGTTATTGTTGTGCTGAGATTTGCAAAATGAACCCCTCCCCCCCCTCTTAAAGTCCTGGATCCGCCACTGGGTTAACTAGAAAATTCATAGTTAACTTAGTCCTCAGACTCAAACGTAAATACTAGCTTATTCTTTATTTTTTGTTATATGTATATATATATATATATATAAATTTTTACGTATGATCGTACTGAATAGATTATCTAGTCTGAAAATAATGTCTATATATAGAGGATATTAAATGGGCGCGCGGAGATACAAATTTTATCTTCGAGTGTTCAATTGATATCTAAATTGAACACGTCATTTAGATATCCATATTCGTATTCTCTTTCCTTATACCTGTTTTTAGATAGCAACCTTATAAGGCTGGAGTTAACTAGAAAAATCAKAGTTAACTTAGTCCTCAGAATGAAACGCAAATACTAGCTTTTTTATTTTTTTGTTTTATATAAAATTTTTTTACGTATGATCGTACTGAATAGATTATCTAGTCTGAAAATAATGTATATATAGAGGATATGGCAGAGACTAGATAAACTAGTTACCCGTGTCGGTGTTTGGAATCAAACAGTGTGCATTTACTCCGAAGAAGGACTAACGTCCGAAACGTCAGTTTCTAAACATCACAAACCATACGGTGTATTAAGTTAAATCAATTCTCCTACTATATATAGAGGATATTACATGGGCGCGCGGAGATACGAATTTTATCTTCGAGTGTTCAACGAACGAGTGAGATATCTAAATTGAACACGAGAAGATAAAATTCGTATCTCCAAGCGGCCATGTAATGTTCTGTTTATTATATAGATATCGATGAAACTTAAATAAAACAAAAACTCAAAAATTCTTTATTAAAATGGCAAGCTGATTCAACAGCGATATCTTCACGTGTGAAAGATATGGTATCTTCCACTGGTGAAAGATATGTTTTCGACACTAGAGAAAACCTGGTATTTCATCGATATCTATATAATAAGTACAAATATTTTCATGGTTAAATACAGAAAATTCAATTCAATCCAATTTCCATATTTTGTTTGAACTTTTCCTTTGCTCCTGGCAATCAGCATACTTATCTGTCCTTGAAATCTCGCGTGACAACCTCGATGAGATGTCTGACTAATATGGTAAATTCGATCGATCAAGGCTATCTGTTGTTCATGGCAATAACATTCTTTACCATGCTTAACAACAAACGTTATATTCCATTTTCTAAAAGTAAATTTATTTTACTCCTCTTGAACAAAATATTGCATGCGTTGGTGCCACGACTGACAAGATGGCCGTGGGCTCTAAAAGACAAACCGTTTTTAAGATTCTTCTGATAGTAACCTCTGTCCTTGTCTTCTGGCTCGTTCATCAGCTTACCGTGAACGGCCATTACAACCTTCTTTTCAAATCAAGCCTACATAAGAAAATACTTCTTATTTTTCAAGATCAACAATTAGATTTGCCAACTGTTGTCGTCAAAAAAAACTTGAAAAAAGCTCAAAAGAATGTTATAATAGTAGCTCATGGACGTTCTGGATCTACAATAACTGGAGACCTGTTCAACCACCATTCTTCTGTCTTTTATCTGTTCGAACCCTTACAAACTGTCGAGCGAATAAGTTATCGTGAAAATAAAACTTCTAAAGACGACTATGGCAATCTCATGGTAGATATTTTGACAAAAATCTTTCGCTGCAACTTCGGCAAGTCAGTGGTTGAGGATTTTGAACATTTCTATCGTGACCCTAGCCATCTACGTGTTAGCCACGCCATTGCATCACCGCCTTTGTGTCCGCATGAAATGAGTGATCCAAGCCTTTGTCCCCCGATGACAAGTGAATCTCTTGAAAAAGTTTGTGCCAACAACTACAAAATCAATGTGTTAAAAGTCCTCATGAGTCGCATAGCAGAAGGAAGCATTTACAATATTTTGGCAGCGTGCAATCCAACGGAAGTCGATTGCAAAATCATTTTTTTAATTAGAGATCCCCGTGCTGTTATCGCYTCTTCTCGAAGTGTTGGGTTTTTCCAAGACCCTGCCAGCGATCCAAGCAGAAAGAACTTACGAGAGTATAGCCATGAAAAGTGTCAACAAACTGAGGAGAACCTAGAGTTAGTCAAGAACCTTCCACTTAGCTGGCGAAAGCGTATAATTATCCAGCGATATGAAGACTTCGCAATGAAGCCGCTTGATGGGCTGTTGAGACTCTTTCAATTCGCTGGGTTGTCCGTTCCAGATAGCGTGAAAATATGGCTCAACCAAACAACGCAACCAAGCAAAGACCACGAAGAACTGAAAGCAGCATGCAGAGGGTACGATCCTGCAGTCTGCACCGTAGATGACTCCTCCTTAGCGGTGAACCGATGGCGATGGAAAGTTCCCCTCGCTGACATTGATATCATGGAACAATACTGCACACGTGTAATGAAGATGATGGGATACAGACCTGTGGATCAGTCTTACGAGTTAATGTCTAACATCAGCGTCCCTTTGTTTAGCGAGGAATACGAAGTAAAAGGATGGRACTAAGATGGTTTATAAGCTATCAAAGGTGCCGTGTTAGAGGAGTTTTAATAATTCAAAATCCTGTGCAAATTTGGGGAATAATCCGTATCCCAATTTGGTAATCATATAAATCCCTAAAATAAACGACCGATAATGTTCAATAATTTTAAAATTCAGCACTAATAATGCATATTCTTTTTAAGGAGTGGACTGACATTTTTGATATTACCTTATTAAAACAGTTATTTTTATCAATCTAGGGAGCTTTAGAATCAAAATATTAAAAATTATTTATCATTTATTCCTATTTGTTCATTTCTATTTTTTATATACAGCTATTCGGCAAACAAGGTTGAACACTGAATATTGCATACGGAATAGTTCATTCCAAGGCCAAAGGGCATTGTGTTTCTCATTAATAATATATATAATAATATAATATTTTACAACCACCACTCCCCATATGGGTCTCTTCCGTGAGGTTCCCTCCACACGCACTACCACTACATCCTATATTTACAACATACAACACTCAATTTACATGTTGCTTTTTACGGAGGGAGGAAACCGGAGAACCCGAAGAAAACCMTATTAGCATAGGAGAGAACAACACATCAAACAAACTCAATTCACGTGTGGCGACCGCAGGGCTCGAACCAGCGACCCGACCCGTTGGACTCACACGCGTTAATTTGAAATAAAAAATAAATATACAGCAATTAACTCTCTACATGTAGTTAAGTATATTGTTTCAGATGAAATACACTAAAAAATAGAATAAATATGAAAAATGACCCCCAACGCACTTCGTTTTTGGAATGCACTATTCAGTATGTAGTATCCAGTATTCAA